AGGTAATAGAAGATTCACATGCAGTTGAAACTACTCTTACATTGTGTGTATGTGTATATATTCAGTCCTGTGCAACTTTATCTCCTGTGCAGGCTCATGTGACCACCCGTCCTGCTTCTTCCTGGTGCAGCCACAGCCCTCAGCCCCCTGCCCTGCTCCCTAACTCCTCGCGATGGTGATCACTTTGGAGCAATGAACAATCACTGACCCCCCAACATGCAGATCACACTGCCAAGCTCTGGAGGATGGTGACACAAACATAATCAGATATACAGGCCTCGTGGTTAGGAGGAAGGGTGGGAACCAGACTAACTGGGTTCAGATCTAGGGTGTGCCGCGGACCAGCTGTGTGACCTTTGTCAGGGTTCTCTCTGGGCCAGTTTCTTCAACCAAGTGGGGCCAACAGACCCTCCTAAGGTTGTTCTGAGGCTTCCATGAGCTGGTGTCGGTCAGGTGAGGAGACAGTGCCTGGTGGCTACACCTGGGAACACCTGGGAACTCTGGCCAGGTCAGCCCATGTTGGACGAGGTGCTGTCAACAAGCCGGGAAGACGTGGGCGGAGCCACTGATGTGCTGTGGAAGACACGCTTCACCGGAAAGGGAATGTTGGGGCTGGGCTTTGAAGCATGAGTGAGACTTTAACAGAAATAAAAGGGAAGGGGAAGATGCTTCATGCAGATAAAACGGGGAGATCTGTGGCCCTGAGGCATGAGCCTGGGATCTGACTGAGAGGCTAAAACCGAGGCTGTGAGGAGACTGCAGGGGTGGGGAGGGGACGTAGGCACAGAGGAAGCCCAGGTTTTGAGGGGTCCTGAGTCCACACTGTGATTAGCACCGTGGTTGTCAAACCTGGAGAAGACTGGACAGAGCAGGAAGAAGGAAGACTGCCTCCTAACACAGGTGCATCAGGAGGGGGAGGGCGGATGGCAAGGAACTTTCTAATCAGGAAACTTGAGCAAAGGTGATTATTATTCGTCTGATTAAAACCAAAAGCAGCAGCAACCATGTCTTCAACGTGGTCGCTGTTCTTTTTCGAACAAGCGTGTCAAACTCAAAGGCTACGTGGCCCAAATAAACGAGGCATGTGGCCCGCAGGCCGTGAGTTTGACATGCTTGTTTTAGAAGCATAAAACTGAGTGTTTGGGAGTTAGCAGTTATTAGGCTAATTCATCCACAACCTGTGTTCTCTCGGCCAGGCCAGTGCCCATGGAGCCAGGTGTTTCCAACGCCCTTCCCCGACCTCAAACCACCCTCTTCCAGGATTTCCAAAGGAAGCCACTGGGCAGTCCCTCCTGGGCGCTGGTACTCATTGATGTTTCTATATCTCTCACTCTTTCTTTTCCTCTCTCTGAAATCAATAAAAATATATTTTTTTTTTAAAGGGAAAGGCAACTTGAATTTGTTAATAGTCTAGCCCAAGCCCAACAAATTCAATTATTTGTGTTTGAAAAGGCTTATCTGATCATCTGGCCTTTGCTTCTTTAGGCTCAGGATGTCCTGGTCCCTGAAGGTGTTGGCCTCCCTATCTGAGAGGCACTTCGCCTCCTGCTGATTCCCTGGGGCCCTTCCCTCCCCTGTTTGCTGTGAGGCGACCCAGGGCCTGCTCAGAAGTCTGCCCGACTTTCACAACCAGATTCTTGCCTCTCTGGTCCAGTGACCTGTTACCACCTACACTTTGGTGTGGCACGTAGGACAATAACAAGTTATCCTGTGTTTCTGCTTTGAATTTTTTCTCAATCAGCCACCTTCCTCTAATTATTTTTCTCATTGTAGAGAGGGAGGAAGGGCAAAGAATGCTTATTCCACTTCCTTAACCTAATTATGTGGTCTGCTCTACACAGACCGAAAACAATGATCAAGTTTATCCCGCAGTAGCATCAGACGTGTTTCTTTTAGTCCTGTTATTCTCATATCCGTGAGAAGAAAAGATATTGGAATAAACGGCTCTTGCCAAGAGGCAGGTAGTCTGGTGTACAGTTTGGCTCTGAAAACTAAGACACCAAAAAAGTGAAAATGGAAAAAACCCTCCCCTCTAAACCAGCTTGAGCATACGGACTTCCCTGAAGATCATGAAGATGAAATGTAACCAAATAAGACAGAAATAAATACTCCCATGGACCCTGAAAACAACACCTCTTGTTCTCCCACAAACAGCATCTCCCTTCCCGACCTTCCCTTGAAGGTGACCCGTCAAGGATGATATTACCAGCATCATCACAAATACAACACCTTCCCAACAAAACACATCCAGACATTTCTCTCCCAAGCTTTCTTCGGCCAATTTCACTTCTAGCCATTAAATCAAATTTTCATTTAAACAAAAAAAAACTATAGCATGTATTTTTTTTTTAAATCACACAACAGCCAGCCAAGAATATCAAGAGAAAGGCAACTTAGCCCAGCTAGTGTGGCTCAGTGGTTGGGCATCGACCCATACATCAAGAAGTCGCCAGTTCGATTCCGGTTTGGGGCTCAGGTTGCAGGCTCCGTCCCCAGTAGGAGATGTGCAGGAGGCAGCCTATCAATGTTTCCCTCTCATTGATGTTTCTATCTCTCTCACCCTCTCCCTTCTCTCTCTGAAATCAATAAAAATATATTGATTTGTTAATATAGCCCAAGCCCAACAAATTCAATAATTTGTGGTTGAAAAGGCCAACGTCTTCAATTCCCTAAGCCCCGAGTGAAGTCTTTTATACAATTAGACGCTGTGTCTTTCAGTGTTTGGTGGCAGGGTGGTGCCCAGTCCATGGGTGACCCAAGTCTGCTTTTCTGACTTCCCCCAGGCAGAGGGCAACCAGACAGTGAGAGGAAATACAACATTAATGATGGTAGAAAAGAATGATATATTCTGTGTTTGTTTATTAATTCTCACAGGAGGATACTTTTTCCATTAATTTTTAGAGAGTAGAAGGGAAGGAGGGAGGTGGGGGAGAAACATCAATGTGAGAGAGACATGGACAGGTCACCTCTCAAATGGGGCCAGGGATTGAACCTGCAACCCAGGTCCTCACCCTTGCCTGGGAATTAAACCTGTGACCCTTCAGTGGGGAAGCTGACGCTCGAATCACTCAGCAACACTGGCCAGGGCAAGAATGATTTATTCTTATTGAATGCGGTAGGATAATCTAAGAAGTTAATTGTGCCCTGTTTGTGGCAGCAGACACCTCAATGAAGGACAAAAGGTCATTCCTTCCCCTACACAGGCCCCCACCATCCACTCCCAACCTCCCATTCCCGGCTGGTTTTAATCAGCTTTGTTTCTGCAAAGTCAATAAAAATCACCTGAGGGACTTGTTACAATGCCCATTTCTGGGTTCCTCTCTGGACCTACCAATTAACATTTCTGGGGATGGGGCCTGGAAGCCACATTTTTAACAAATTCCTTAAGAAATGCTATTCCAGGGGTTTTGGGGAACACTCATTGAGAAACACTTGAGTAAAAGAGACAAGGAAACTGGAATGTTTGGGCGTAGGGGGAGGTGAGCTGAGGCTTCAAAGAAGGAACCAGACCTTGGGAGGCTCCTATCCCAGGCGGGGAGCTTGGTCTGGCATTTAACCCGGCTGTGCTTTTAACCTGCAACTCATCCTCCTGTGTCGTCCTCTCCAAGGACTCTCCTGTCCCCCTGGCCCTCAGGCTGGCCCACCAGAGGTTCCTGCTCCTCAGTGTCCCTTCTGAGCTATGCATCCTTCTAGCTCAGCACCGACCACACTGCACTGACATGGCCCACTGGTGTTACATTTCTAACCTCCCCGCAGTGAGCTGCTGCAGGCGGTGAGGTGATTTATGCTCGGTGCCTGGCGGGCGGTAGGTGTCCTATAAATGTTCAGGAAGCAGACTATTGTGTTCCGTTTACAACCACGTCGCCATCACCTGGTCCTGATTCTTCACACAGAAAGTGCTAGGCCGCTCCTTGCTCACGGCCTAGAACGCTTGGTTTCTAGCCGAGGAACTGGGCCCCGTTTCTAAACCCCTCCTTTACCAGCGGGTATTACCGGGGTCAAATGAAACATCAGAAGCCTGAGCTTTTGATTATATTGTCACAAATTAATCCGTTTAAATGTTTTGTTTCAGAAAGAACTAAAGCTCTCCCACAACTCTGCCCAAAGTCCCCACACAGGCGGAGCCCCTCCGAGGAGTTTAAGGCGCAGGAAAATGTACCACCAGGTGATTCTAGCATCGATCCCGCCGTGTCCAAAGCAAAACACCTGACTTCCCCGCTGGCCGCCCCACTCCCCAGCTGCAAGCACCGGTTTCAGTCTGGCCAGCACCTCCCACCGAAGAGCAGACATAAGAAAGGCAATCCGAATTTTAAATCTGAAACCATTTTACAAAGAAGGCGAGGGACGTTCCATGCAGGGGCAATCATAAAGGCCTCCCCTGTGAGGTCTCCATTATGAAACTCCCCTTCATTCTCCAAGAATAAAACTGACACGGGTGTAGCCGCACGAAAGCGAAACCTGAGCACCGCGCGCCTCCGTCGGGTTCACCGCGCGCACCTGTGCTCCGCAGTGCGCCCCGCGCCGCCACCGCCGGCCTACCTTGTAGCACGGGCCTCGCAGGATCTTGGGGCCTCATGAAGCCTGAGCCGTGGAGAACCTGGAGGGGCCGCCCAGCGTTGGGGGTCCTCTGCTGAGTGGCTCCAGCGGCCGCCTTCACAGTTCACAGGGAAGGGCGCTCTGTGTCCAGCACTCAAGCCACGACCAAGTCCATTACCAAGGCCCGCGCAGGGTGTCGGCGGCCCCGGCCCGTCCCTAGCATCCGAGGGCGAGTCTCACCGACCCCGCAGCCCGCTCCGGTCCGCCCGCGCCCCCGCCCCCGCCCCCGCGTGGAGCTCTAAATCCACGAGGGAGGGGCGCCGCACGAGGCCGCACCTGGCTTCGGTGCCGAGTGGGCGGCGCGGCCCAGCCCTGCGGGCCTCCCAGCCCTGCAGCTGCCCGCGCACCGGGATCCAGCATGGCCTCCCCCAGCGGCCGGCTGAGGGGCGCAGGCTCGGGCTCCCTGGCGCCCGTGCGCGCTCCGCACACCTGTCTGCCCCGGGAGGCTTCATTAGGCCGCGCCTGTGCAGCCCGCCGGCCCCACCGCGGAGTCCAGGCCATGGAACCCACCAAGGAGCCCCGCCGGGAACCGCGGGGTGAGCCGGGGCGCGGGGGCGGGCTGGGGGTGCTGGCCCACCACCCACCTTAGGAGGCTCTTCTAGGGCTTGGGCAGGCCACGGGCTGGGCCCCACTCCACCCGGTCCGAGGTCCCCATCTCTCTACACGTGGAGAAAAGTCAGGGCCGGAGTCCTAGGACTTCTAGTCTAGGTCCCAACATCCGCCACTTTTCTTATCTGATGCGTGGCATTTATTGAGCACCTACTATATACCAGGTGAGCTAGGCTACCAGCTCTGCCTCCCCCACCCAGCCTTGCCCCTTCACCCCCGTAGAGGCCTGTCCATGCTCCACCAGCTGCAGGTCCCTCCTGTGGGGCAGGCCCATGTGCACTCAGGAAACTGTGACAAAGCACCTTGGCCCATCTTACTACACACACTCCCGGAAAGTCATTCCTTAAGACATTCTACCTCATGCAATTTCGTTAGAATAACAATAGCACCAAGTCACTAGTTAGTATGCATTTGTAAATATTCCAATTTATTTGGAAACGATGAAGCAGCATCTTGAGTGGAGGATTCTGGGGGTTCTGAGTAATGGGGATGTGGTGGGGCGAGGGTTTGGTGGGCGGGAGGACTGTGCTTGGGGATTAGGAGCACTTGCCCTGTGATCTGGGCAAATGACTCACCTTTCTTGTCCGTGTTTCCGTGTTAGAAGGAGATGTGGACAGTGCCTCCCTCGCAGGGATCAGATGCCACTAATCTATGGAAGGTGCTAGCACAGGGCCTGGTGCACCCGGAGAAGTCAGAGCTCAGGACAGGGCTTGGAGAGTGTCAGCAGGGTCACCCTCCCTCCCTTGTGTAAGGACAGCGGCCCGGGCCTGGTCCCCTGTGTGAGGTTCCGCTTCCGGGGAAGGGCAGGGGTGCGGATAGCCGTGAGGAGAGCTGGCAGGGCAGAGTGACTTCTGTGGAAGGTGAGGGGGTCGTTCCTGTCGTCTCCTTTGCTGTCCTTGCCTGGGCTTCAGGCGGCCATCCAATGCCGCCCTGGCCCTGCTCTAAGCCACAATGTCTGGATCTACGGCAGGAACAAAAGCTCGTTTTAGTCTACCCCAACCCCAACATCTGTCCCTTAGAAACGCTGAACAGATGCCTGTCCTTCAAACTCACCTTCCAGGTGGCAGGAAACTAGCAGGACGCTCACAGGAAGTTAGTCCCCCCATTAGGATACCCTCTACCATCTGTGTAGATGAGCCAAGGCCCCTTAGAGTTTTCTAGACTCTTCAAAGCAGTGGCTCCTCTACTTCAATCCTCACAATAGCCAGGTTAGGAAGCTATGCCTGGAGCTAATTCTGTACATGGACAAATTCAAGCTTAAGCTCAAACCAGAAACCAGTTACAGTGCTCATTCCCCACAGGCCAGGAAGGTGGAGGCAAGCCCCTGGCTGCGGGGTCGGAGAAGGAAGGACCACCACGGAGTCCAGCCCCCACCACTCAGGATGTCCCACGTGGGGAGCCGCCCCTCTCCTGCGCTGTCCTGGGAGAGAAGACGCCACCCAAAGCCCCTGACGCCAGGGGAGCATGCCAGCCACTGGGCTCTGTCCACAAAGACAGAACTCTGGTCCCGCCCCGCCCCCAGCCTCAGGGAGACGGGTGTTCCGTCCCCAGGAGAGAGGCCAAGGCAGGGAAGAGGTCCTTCGCTCCCGGCTCCAGGAAGCAGAAAAAGTCTGTCGCCATGGGTCCAGTCTCCATGTCACCTCCCCGAGTCACTAACTCAGCCCGTGACACCAACAACCCAGTGCCCTGTGGGTCAGGCCGGGGGCCCTGCCACCTGGCCAACCTCCTCAGCACGTTGGCCCAGAACAGCCAAAACACAGACCAAAAGAAGCCCCTAGAAGTGACCTGCCAAGTGCGGAAAAAGACTCGAACCCTGTACCGCTCAGGTGAGTCCCTGAAGGTGAGAGTCAGCCTGGGGTCTGGTGTCATCTCTGGGAAAGGTGCGCTCAGCAGGGAACATGGCCCGGGAGACTGGAGGGTGGTTTGCTTGCACATTGCCTGTCCTGGACCCCCTTGGCCTGTGGCGGGGCCACGGCCTATCAGGGCTGGGGGTGCATCAGAAAGTGAAATTGAAAACAGGTTGGAAAGGTTAGTCCCCACCCACAAAGCCCGAGAAGAGGAGGCCCGGCCCAGTGGGAAACAGTTGAGAGACTCGGGAGCCCTGGGCTGGGCCGGTGGTCCCATCTGGCAGGCATCCTCCTCTCCTGCCACATCCCTGGGGTTTGTATTCATGGGAGTTTCTCCTTCTTCCAGACCAGCTGGAGGAGCTGGAAAGGATATTCCAAGCAGACCACTACCCTGACGGTGACAAGCGCCGGGAGATTGCCCAGACAGTGGGGGTCACCCCCCAGCGCATCATGGTAAAGGGGGCTGGGCAGGGACGGGTGGAGGAGAATCCACGCTGGGCCTCTGGACAGCAGGCAGGTGCGCAGCACCTCTGGCTCGGGCCGAGGTTACAGCTCTTAGGGCTGTGTTCTTGCGTGTCCACATCGCTGTGGCCTAGAAAGCGAGAAGGGGAAAGGCTACTAGAGGGACCTTCTATGACACCAGCCTCAGAGGCGGCATCTGCAGCTCAGCGGTGAGGCAGCTCCTCACGGGATAGTCAGGACCGGCTGAGCCTCTGCCCCTTCCTCAGGCTCTTCTAGTGTCTCTCCCTACAGGTGTGGTTCCAGAATCGCCGGGCAAAGTGGCGAAAAGTGGAGAAACTGAATGGGAAGAAGGACAAGGACAGTCCTGCAGGTCCAGCCCCTGCCAGCGGCCAGGACAGGTGAGTTCCTCCTCCTGCTGGGTCATCCCCGGAGGTGGGAAGCGGGGTCCAAGCTGGGACCTGGGTCTCAAAGTCTGGGCGTTGAGGCTGGAGCTGCTGGCTAACATTTAGGGGCTTTGGCTGCATGGGATGGGGCAGTGGCCAGTGCCTTGGAGGGAGGCAGGGTCTGTCCCTTTCCTGGCACCGAGGCCCCAATCTATGTCCAGGGACCATTCAAAGTACAACCTTCACTCTGTCTGCCTCCAGCTCTGCTGCTGAGCTGCCGCCTGCTGTGCCCATGGACCCGGAGCCTGGTGCCTTCCCTCAGGAGCCCCCTCTATGCACACTGCCAGGTGAGCTGACCCCCTTCTGAGGATTATCTGGGGGGTGGGAAAGGATGACAGGAAGACAGTGAAGACAGAGGGGCTTTCTTGGTAGGCATGGGAGTGGCCCAAAGCCCTCTGCTGTCCTGCGCGTCTACCTTCCAGCAACCCCAAGTCTGCCTCCCCATTCTCTTACCTTCACAACCCTCGTGTCTTCTGCTCCTAGAGCCCCCCATGCTTCTGACATCTGACCAGACTCTGGCCCCAACCCAACAGAGCGAGGGTGCTCAGAGGGTGGCAGTGACCCCACCACTCTTCAGCCCCCCGCCTGTCCAAAGGGCCAACCTTCCCTTCCCCCTCGGCTCTGCCCACACCCCCCAACTGATGCCTCTGCTGATGGACACACTTGGCAGTGACAGCAGCCACAGAGATGGCTCCTGTGGGTCCTGGGGGACAAGGTATGGAACCAGTGGGGGTGGCCACTGAGTTATCTTGGGAAGGGTTTCAGAGCAGAGAGGGGCTTGGGATGGCAAAGGGTTAGCCGAGAGGAGCAAGCAGCAGTAAATGTGAAGCGGGTGAAAGGGGTGGAAAGGGTAGGATATCTCAGCATTAGAGCAGGAATGAGGCGAGAAGCTGGGAGCAGGCAGAGGAAGAGGAGGTGGCGGCAGGTGGGGCCTGGAGGTGGGGAGAGGGGTGAGGAGAAGGCACTGGCTTACTGTGTGGTCAGAATGAGGAGGCCCCGGACCCTCACAAATGCTTCCCTGTCCCCACAGTGTCACCCCACCCCCTACCTGCTCATACCTGGAAGAGCTGGAACCCCAGGATTACCAGCTGAGCAACCAGCCGGGGCTGTTCCAGGTCTCCCAGGCTCCGCAGACCCAGCTTTTCCAACAGCCTCAGCCCCAGTTTTCCTATCTGCATCCCTTCCCCTTCTCCACGCCCAGCTCACTGACGCCCCCGCTGCCAGAAGACGCTTTCTTCCCTCCACCTTACGGCCCCAATGGGGGGACCTCGCAGGGCTACTTCTCAGCGCCCCTGGCAGGGCAGGGCCTGCTGCAGCCGCCTGCTGGGAGCATGGGTGAGTTCGGGCTGGAAGGGAAGGTTCCCTTGGTGACTGAGGAAGGTGAGAAGGGACAGAGGCCTCACCACCGGGGAGGCTGGGGCAGGGCGTGGTGCGAGGGAAGCTTTTTTCTTGCCACGGGGGTCTGTTTCCTCAAGTTTCTCAGAGGCTGCCGAGCAGAGAGAGAGTCAGCCATAGAGCTTTGGAGTTAGGAAAACCAAAATTTGAAGTCCAGTTCAGCAGTTTGCAACTCTCCTGGGCCTCAGGTTCCTGGGCTCTGAAATGGGAATATGATTCCCATATCATGGAGGCACCTGATGAAGAGGAGGAATAACATGAGGGCCGTGCCTGGCGCAGAGTAGCTGGCGGCTAATACGAGTGTTCTGTTGGGCCGCTGGGCCTCTGAGAACCTGGAAGCAGCCATCTGATGACTAAATTCCAGGAGAAGGGGAAGAGTGGCCGGCGGGTTTGGGTCTCCTTGCTGGCACAGTGCACTGTGTCCAGGCCCGGGTCTGGAACATGCCTGGTCCTCAGGGGAGCTCCTGGTGCCAGTTTGCCCCCTAGACTTGCGTGGGGTCCTAGCCTGTGTGTCGGAGGAGGCGGACGTTCACAGCACATGCTGAACTGTGGCTGGTGTCTCAGTCCTGTCTAATTACTCCTATGTTCTTTGACCCCACAGGCACAGTGCCCTGGAATGACCCTTGCTTGCCAGAACTGCCCTTCCCTGGTCCCTTCTGTCCCCAAGCTCTGGGGCACCCCTCAGGAGGGGACGGCTACTTTTCCGATCTGTTTCCGGCTCCCTATGCTCACCCTGTGAGCAGACAGCCTTCTCCAGGGCCCAGCCGGCTGCCTGACGGGGCCAGGCCAGGAGCTGGGCCCTTACCCAGCAAGGCCCCCAGTGAGCAGCCCAGGGCCACTGTGGAGCAGCATTTGGCACCCGAGGAGGCCCGAGAGGAGGACAGAAACAGCCACGGCCCCTAGTCCTGGGGCCACATGTCAGACAGGCCGCTGGGTGGAGGGGTTGGGGCGCCATCAGGGAGATGGCGGCAGAAGCATTAGGAAAGACGGGGGGCTGTGTCGACTGGGGTGCAAGTCGGACGTGCTCCTGTGTGAGCTCATCTTGCTGGGCGCTGGTGTGAGGAGGGAGGGGCTGGCTCTACCCGAATCTCCACACCTCTGTACGGTGTCGGCCCTGAAGGTGATGGCCGGTACCACTTTGGAACTCTGTATCAGCTTGTGTTGTTTCCTTTCCTGGCCAGACACATGAGCCAGAGTGTTCATTGTAAGCAGTAAACGAGTGTGCTGTTGGTTTCTCTCTGTCATTACCGTCTCCCCCTCACACACTGAGCTCCAGTCCCAGGTGAGGTTGCCACTGGGCGTGATCAAGTGCAGCTGGCATTCTCCCTGTCCTGTCTCTCCTGCTGGAGGAGAAACTGGGCATTTGGGGCCTTGTCTTCACTCCTGCTATTAAACCATGCTCTCTGGGATTTGGACTCTGGAGGGACAGGGTTACAAAAAAAGCCCAAGCATATTTCAGGGTCAGTCTCTCCAAAGCATTTTTTTTTGGCAGGTGGGGGGCGGGGGGGCGCTAAGAAGAGGATGCTCTTATATATAGTTAGCACCCCACATCGGATAGTCCCACAGAGCCCACTGCATTGGGGGGCATTCTGGACCTCTAAATGCTGATTATTGGAAAATACACATCCTCTTGATGTCATCATCCTCTCAACAGTGCGAGCTCAGGGCTTTGCCATTGACCAGAGCAGAATCCTTCCTTGCAGACTCCGGGAAAAAATGTCTCCCCCATCTAGTTTAAGTTTTCACTGTCACAATGTTTCCACCAGATGGCAATCCACCACCAGTTTCTCTGTGGCCTTAAACTGGTGGTTTACAGCAGCAATTTTCAACCTTTTTCATCTCATGGCGCATGTAAACTAATGACTAAGATTCTGCGGCACACTAAAAAAACATTATTTGCCAATCTGTCAAAAAATTCGTTTAATCTTGATTCTTTCATACTGGACAGCTATTGTGTTGGCTGTTGTCATTTCTTTATTTGACAATCTAAGGGAAAAAGGGTCAGTGCCCCAGACTAGTCAGGTATTGCATGCTTTAAAAATTCTTGCAGCACACAGGTCGAAAACCACTAGTTTGCAGTAAGAAAGCCCATGCTAATTCTTCCAAAAGCCCTAGAGCCACTAACTTCAGATTCAAAGATATTAAAGTCATTTGGATTGTAGCTTACCAGATAAAATGTATGATGTCGTTATATTTGAGCTGCAGATAAACAAATCCTTTTTTAGTATAAGCATGCTTCCTACAATAGTGGAGTGTCCTGTATTTTTATGTATGCTAAATCTGGCAACGCTGGTTGTAGCACTTTGCTAAGGACTCTACATCCATGCTAACATCTTGATCCAAACAGAGGTTGTCTAGGAGCCGGCCTCTGTATCTGGCTCAGCTTTTTGCAGTTCAGGCTCCTGAGCAGCTGGATCATGGTGTGAACCCAGTTCATAGAAGACTCCCCTCCCTCCTGCCATTATAACCCTCCATCCAGGCTCCACATGTGTCTAAAAAATGCTGTAAAATCTATTGGATTCCTATTATATTTTCTGTTCCTGTTAGCTACATATTACTGAGATAGTCCATTAGAAGTTATTTTTAAACACCTATTTTAACATCATTTGCATAAACGGAGCACAGAAAAACAGGAAGCAAAATACAATTTGGCTTCTATTGATTCCACTCCAAGTCCTAAACGGTTTTTATGAATTAAGAATAAGTCTGATTTCCGGGAAGTACATCATTTTCATTCACCCAGAAGTGGTGTTACTTTAGTTCAGAGAGAGATTTATGGTTTTTATATTTGTGGTTTGGTTCACACTGTTCTTTCAAAAATACCCTCTCATTTGAGTTTCATCGCCAAGTCCTCAGAAATAAAGGCAGCTGCATGTTTCGGCATTCAGTGGGATCTACAGGATCTACAGTCCCGGGTGAACACAGATAAATGAAAGGTCTTTCCGGCTTGCAGGGAACCGACAGTCTTGTCCAGGAGTCTGGCCACAAGTGCCCAGTTAGACTGCAGGAGGGCAGAGCTGTGCAGGGTCAGCCCCAAGAACCAAGTGTGACCAAGGTTCCAAAGGTGGGCAGCCATGTCTGCTGGAACAGAATGCTGGAGTCTGAGGCATCACTCCTACAGGAAGAACCGAATTAAGATAAGCAGAGCAGGAAAGAAAGGATACTTCAGGCAGAAGGCACAGTGAGTGTGAGGCCACTGAGACTGGAAAGATGATTAAGGAGGGGTTCGGAGTGGCTGGATTTGTATAGATAAGGCCAGTGGGAAGGCTGTAGTAGAAGATCTGAGAAGCACTGGCAGGTTTAAGGTGTGGGCATATCTTGTTCAAATTTGTTTTAGACAGACAGATGGAAAATATGACCAGAGGCTTAGAGGAAGCTGGGAAACAAGATAGGGCTACGGTTTGAGTCTAAGTGAGAGATGATGGAGAGAGAATAGGGCAGATTGGAGAAATACTTAAAGAGTCAGGCTCAGTTAATAGGATGAAAGTTCATTGAAAGGAATTGAAGAGAAAGGAAAGAAGATGGACACTTTGGTAACTAAGAAATGCTGTTAATTGAGAAAGGAAATAATGGGATAAAGCCGATTTGGGGAAGGTAGACCACTCTGTATGTTGAGCGGAAGTTCCTGTAGTTATCTGTGTGGACACATCTAGTGAGAACAACATGGAAGTAGGTCTGTGGGGCCTCTTCAGCGTAGAAAATGCTAATTGAGGTCAAGAGACCACACCAGATTGCTCAGGCAGAGCGCCTGGCATAAAGAAAAGTCTTGGAAGAGACTCGTGGAAACACCAAATAAGATGAGGAGAATGGGGTGGGAGAAAGGGGCTGCTGAGACTGATGAGGAAAGACTGGGGTGCAGATGAAGAGCTGGAAGGGCTGTCAGATGGGGAGGGATCAAGCCCCATGGGGTCAAGGTCTGGAGAGGAAGGTGGACAAGTAATTGTGCAAATTAGATATAATTATCCTAATTTACAGAGGAGGTACGGAGGTTTATATGATTTCCTAAAAATGCCTTAACCAAGTCAAGATAAAAGTCTTTTGAGTTTATTTTCCACATCACCAAATACAGACAGAGGAGTCTTGCTTCCTGAATATATCACTTAAGAAACTGGACAAGCCTTAATAGGTGCATGTGTACTTATGACAGCCAATTCTGTGTGTTTGTATGTTTACAAGACCATGAGGAACTGAAATACTTTTCCCAGAAATTGGTCCTCAGGCAAAATATTAATTATGATGGTAATAATTTATTTATAATTTATTGTGTATGTAGCTCTCTAGTAGGTCATTTCATTTCATGACAAATCTATATGGCATTTTAAAAAAAATTTTTCTTATAAGGTAGTATTCATGTGACTCAGAGAGGTTTAAGTATTTGCCCAAAGTTGCAAAAGAAACAAGTATTGGTCAGAAGGTGCCAACTTCAAGCAGTATATTTTGATAGTTTTAGAGGGAGATGACAAAGAAGGTAAGAAGGTGGGGCTGAGTGTAGTAAAACAATAGGTGCAATCTAGATTAGATTTAGAATCCTCCATAGACCCTAGGTCTGTGTTTAAATAACACACTCAGCCGGCGTGGCTCAGTGGTTGAACCCTGACCTATTACCCAGGAGGTCACATTTTAATTCCCGGTCAGGGCACATGCCAGGGTTGGGGGCGTGATCCCCAGTAGGGGGTGTACAGGAGGCAACCCATCAATGATCCCCTCTCATCATTGATGTTTCTATCTCCCTCTCCCTTCCTCTCTGAAATCAATAAAAATGTATTTAAAAATAAATAAATAACACAGCACTGTTTAGTTTGATTTAAAAGAAACAGGAACATTGTGTGAGACAGGAGAGGGCGAGAAGAGCAGTGAACAGGAGGGTCCATGTTGCAGAGCTGGAAAGGGATTGGAATGTATAGAAAGAACAGGCCAAGGGGGAAGTGAAGTGGACGTAGGAGCAACAAGAAAGAGGCAGATGGAGGGGGCTGGATGGCTAGATGGGGTACAGCTGTGACCAGTCTTACCTGGTAGATGATAGGGCAGTGGTTCTCAACCTTGGCTACACATCAGAATCACCTGGGACTCTTTTTAAAATCCTGATTTCTGGGCCTCATCCTCCGGAAATTCTGTTTCTTTGTTATGGGGTGGGGCCACAACATTAGTAACAAAGAAACAGAATTTCCAGAGGATGCGGCCCAGAAATCAGGATTTTAAAAAGATTCCCAGGTGATTCTAATGTGCAGCTAAGGTTGAGAACCACTGTGATAGGGGTAAAGAGGAGACAGTCAAAGCTGAGATCCGGATAACACTCCTACAGAAAGACGGCAGGTGAAAGGATGGGAGAAGGCATGCCCTTGGGGAAGTCTCCAGTGCCCAGGTGTGAGCTATTGAGACTAAAATAGTGGAAGGGAAACAGAGGGAAGCAATCTCGGTGAACTACGAAAAAATCAGCAGAACCTGATTGTGTGGGTGGAGAGGAGAGAATGTCAAACTGACTCCTTGTTTCAGAGCCCAGGCATCTGGGAGTATGACTTACAAGCAATGGAAGTCTAGAAGTGTTGTTTCTGCCTCAGCATTTTGGCGCCTGCGTTTGTAACTTTCCCACTTTATCTGCTTCTTCGTGTCATCACTCTGGTCTACTTGCCTCAGGTACATTCCTCCTGCCATAGGTTTTCATTATCTGGGAATGGAGTTTCCACCCCTGGAGATTCCTGGGTCCTTCCCAGTTCACTTTCACCCTGTTGCTACTCATGTGGCCCCTTCCACTGAATTCTATGCCATGTGTCCTCCCTAGACTGGCACCCTCACCCCATCATATCCCAGCAGCCTGTTGGGAATATGGGATCCCTTCTGAACGATCAGCAACAATAAGCCTTTACTCTTTCTAAGCATTCCATTTTATCCACTTCTTCATTATACCTTCTTACTTATTCATCTTGGTTAGGCTTTTCTGTTACTTTCTATAATAATTATTTGAATTGGTGAAATCGAGTACATTTTCATACGCAGTGCACTAAAAATTGTCCCCAAACCAATTTAAAGGACTACGGTCAAAGTTTTAAAAAAATATACACACTCATTTTCCTTGGTTTTCAACTAGAAAATTCCTCTTTCCCCTTTTCTCCACTTTTATTTGTTAATGCCTGCATTGCTGTATTTCAAGGAGGAAGCCCAGTCTTCTAGTAGAGATGCTCTAGTCCTCCCCACCCTAAAAGCTAAACAGCCACCTCTTCACACACACTCACACATGTGCACACACATGTTTATGCACATACGCTCCCGAGTTGAGGCCAAACCACACCCTATCTTTATTTC